ACCAAGCAGGTCATTTCCTAGGCAGTAGGTATGCTGGACATTTTTCCTCCCTAGGTGCAGCACTTTCCATTTCTCCTTGTTGAATTGCATTCTGTTGTTTTCTGCCCACTTGTCCAACCTGTCCAGGTCTGCTTGTAGTTGTTCCCTGCCCTCCGCTGCCCCCACTGCCCATGTTCTTCCAGGTCGATATTGACCCATCCACTACGACTCTCTGGGTGCGACCCTCTAGCCAATTCGCCACCCACCGGACTGTAGTTATCCAAGTCACAACCTCTTAACTGTTCAAGTCATCCATGTACATGAGGACTTTTGTCTCCCCTGTTCCTCCCATCACCACGTTAACGTTGGCCAGCGCTGGAACCTCCAAGCTGCAGATACAGTCTCGTGTGGAAATCATCCCGCTTGTGGGCATGGAGCTGCATGCCTACGGTGGACGCCGACCCTTTGCCACCACCCTCTTCCTGCATCCCATCCCACGCAAGGAGCTCTGGACAAAAAGAAAAAGAAAAAGAAAAAGAAAAACAAAACAGTATTGCTGAAAAAGCGTAGAGATTAGACAACGGTAAACAGCTCCAGAACAATCTGCATTGAAAAATGCAATGAGCAATCCAAGAAGTCAAAACCAGAACAAGTAGGACACAGGAGAAAGGCTGGAGTGAACCGTTATTCTGTCCATCCTCGAGACAAAGTTATCAGCTTCTCTCCACTCTACTGTCTGCTACTGTGGTCACTAGTAATAGGCACCCAAAGATCATCTTCCCAAAACACACAGAAGTATCATCTCACAGAACACACCACACAGCAAATCCATGGGACCAGATGCATCCAACAACCACCACAAACACAACCAAGAACCAAACCATACACACACCTCTCAGCACCCCACTGAACAACCCACTAGAACCACCCCCACAAACTCACTTGAACAACTCGCACAGTGCCTTTGATGCAGTTTATATATATTCCAGTTGCACCACGTTCCATCAACCAATCCTCTGTGGTAAACTCACTCAGTGTCACTCAGATAACTGCCAATCTCACTTAGCTGTTTCTTCCACTGGAAACTTTTGGCTGTCACTCAAAATCAGTTGATCACTTTTACCTCAGAAGCTCTCCTTTCTTTCCTGCCACACATTCTGTATCCATCAAGCATGCCCAGACTGTAAAAATAGGATAGTGGGTCAAAAGGTTATCTTCTAGAGGCACATGCAATAGTTACAGTTGTGCATGCTCAAGGGACTTCTGTTAGGTCATAGTTAATCACATACTTGCTTGAACAAATTTCTCACACCAAATGAAAATGTTATTTTTTTTGCTGGTTTGTTAGTGGAAGCAAAGAGGTGAGGACACTGAACTTTGCCTTGGATACACAGAGATCACTCCACATAGTACTTTCTCATATTATTTCCAAGTGTGCCATCTAATTTTATTAAGGTTATTGTATAGCAGTGGTTCTCAACATTTTTGTACCATGACTCATTTATAAACATCAATGACCAGTTCCAACCCAGTGCCCCTCACTCCTGACCTGCTGCCCCCCAGGCCTTAGCCCCACAGTGTGTGGAGGGGTGTATGGGAGACCCCAAGCAGTGCCTTGCAGGCTGCAACTCTGCCATCCTGCAAGGGAAAAGCCACCCTTTCCCATCTGTTTCTCCTTTAAAGATTAATCCATTTTTAAAAGTTGTTGATCTGTGTTTAACGTTTGTTTGTGACCCTTTTATGGATTCTTGTAACCCACTTTTCGATGGTGACCCATGGGTTAAGAAAAGCTGTTGTAGAGCACGAACCAAACCATTCATATAGCCCATGGCCTGGTTTATGCACTAGGCTGAGCGAACGAGGTTTATTTAATCTGGAGAAGAAAAGATTGAATCCAGGTTTGTCTTCAAATACTTGAAGGAGAATTACTGAATTTAAAAGTGGGCTTTTCTCTGTGCCTGTAGGGGATGGGACCAGAAGCAATGATGTGCTTGTATACATGTGGGATGTCAGCTCCGATGAGTTGTAATTAGAACACTCCAAGAGCCTCACCGTGACGTATTCAGCATCCCCACAGTTCAAAATGACTATGGAGGCACACACATTGTAGTGAAACTGAAGTTCAAAAATTGAAATTCAGTACCTCAAAAGCCATCTTTCTTAAGAAATAAAGTGCACTTTGTAGTTTGAGTAGAGTTAGAAATTAGCTGAGAATAGATTTGTTTTGCTACTTTTCTGATGCTTCTGCTTTTGCTATGGGATGAAACATAGAACAGAGCAGTATTAAAAAGTCCATTAAGAATTATGTAAGTGTCTTTTACAACTTCAAAAAGCTTTCTGTGAATGATGAGAGAAGATCAAGATCAGTTCCTGTTGTATTAGGACCAGTACACATATCTAATTTTAAAAAGGAGGACTTGTCAGTATCTCTCCTGCTTTTATTAGATGTACCTTCCTGTTTAGTTTTATTTTATTAGCAACTTTCAGTCAATTGCTTTGGAACTCTTCATCTGTCTCTGCAGCCATGTTATTGCCAAATGATTTAATCTTGATGAATGCTGTTACGATGCGTATCAAATGAATTAATAATTG